CACAATGTTGTTCATCTTGTGTTTTGGCGTTGGGTCTATTGGGCGAACCAGTTGTTGCCTCAGTGTATTGCTGGGTTTAAAGCAGGCAGGTATGTGATGTTTTTTTTAAAACCCTTCTGAGTTTCTCAGACACCCCAGCTACATATGGGATGACCAAATTCTTCTGTTTGTCATGCTTTTCACCCTCACTGGTACTCTTGGCATTCTTTCCTCTCCTTTTTTTCTGTTTTGACAAAAGCCCAGTCTGGATACCCGCAAGTTTTAAGTGCTCCCCTGAGGTGTTTGAATTCCTTCGTCTTGGCCTCTGTTCTGGTGGGAATCTTCTCTGCCCGGTGGTGTAGAGTTCTGATGGCTCCCAGTTTGTGGCTCCCAGTTTGTGGTCTAAAGGGTGGTGGGAGTCAAATAGCAGGTACTGGTCTGTGTGTGTTGGTTTTCGGTAGACCTCCTATTTCCAGCCTCCTTCCTTCTTCTACTGTTACTAAACAATCCAAAAAAGGCAGTTTGTTGTTTTGTATATCTTTCCATGTAAACTTGATGTTATGATCCACTAAGTTGATATGGTCAGTGAAAGCCTCTTTGGCCTTTTCCAGCTGTTGAAGTAGATCTATAGCTTTCTTCTTGTAACCACTGGTTGGGTCCCTTCTTAGGGCTTCATATGTGTTGTTATCATTCAGAAGTGCAGTCACCATTCTCCTGAATCGGGGTACATTTTCTCCTCGTTACCCCAGTTCCTAACCAACCAGATGCGCAACAATTCAGAATGAGATAAAGCTTACAATTACACAAACCTATTGTGTGATGATACGGCAGCATAAATATTTAGGTTCTGTTCCCTGCCGAATTGTTCTATGTTAACCCCGTGCTTACTATTCCAATATGGTCTGTTAATTAGAACCTCATGTGTCAGGATTGTACTGTTTTATGTTGCCTGTGTGGTAGCTGTACTTATTTGTACTTTGAATTTCCCTCAATAAAGTTGGTTTGGGATTATAAAAAAAACAAAATTACAAATTTAGATACGTATTCATATCATGGATCAACCAGTGGCACAAACACTGAATTGCCAAGTAACTGAATAACAATTCTTTATTACAGCCCCCAGATAATGCATTGCTTATTATGTTAACCCCTTCATGACCAGTGACGTACAGTGTACGTCACTGGCATTGGGCCCCTTTAAACATACTCGACTCTGTTTAAACTTGTAAAGCCGACTGTTGGCTTTACAGTAGAAGCAATTTCTGGCGGATCAGCTACCGCCAGATCGCTTCTATGGGCCGGTAAGCGGGCTTCCCCCCATGCCGACACCCCTGACGTGTTTCCCGGGCTGAAGCCCAGCAAAAAGCTATTGAGGTGCAATCTGCACTTCAATAGCTTATTTAAAGTGTAAAGGTGATACTAGGGGTCTTTTGGACCCCCGTATCACCTTAAAGAGTACCTGTCACTGCTGATATGTCATCACATGGGGGGCTCGTAAGCCCACCCATGCGATGGCAATTGAAGTTAAAAAAGTTTTTAAAATTAAAATAAATGTAAAAATAAATAAAAAAAATGTAAAAGTCCCCTGCCCCCGTGAGCAAGCGCGTCTTCATGTAAACACCTGTCGAGTGCGCCTACGTATCAAAACAACTATCGCGCTACACATGTTGAGTATCGCTGCGCACGCCACAGAGCAATAATTCTAGGGCCAATATTTACATCCATCTCTAAACTGATGACCTGTGGGAGGCTGTTAAAGCATCGTCTATGGGGGGGGGCGTGGCTTGCTGGCGCGCTGCATGGACGCTTTTTGCTAGAGCTCCGTGCGGCGACGGGCCTCGAGGCTAATTAAAGCGACAATCGGGTCTTACCCGCACCGCATCGGATCCCTCCTCGGCTTCCTCCGATCCCCGGGCATGAAGCGGCAGCAGAAACGGAGAGGGAAACGGCCGCAGAGACTCACCGACTTCTTCGGCCCTACAGGGCGGCGGCGTGGCCAAGATGGCGCCGGCTCCTCTGCGCCTGATCTCCGGCGGCCCCCATCTACAGGGCATAAGTCCAGCGGCGCTTCTGTGGGGACACAGCCGGCATCAGGCTCCTCTTCTGGCTCATCCCAGCCCGACTCTCCTGCAGACCGGAGCCCAGAGACAACCAGGCTAAGGATGTCAACCCCTGGAGATGACCAGAGGGAGGTAAGCCTGCTCAGTGCATCCCTGGAGGATACAAGGGAGCTGATTGCTCCTATAGAAGCATTTCCCACAACACACCAACCCATCTTAGATTCTACATTAAAGGACATGCTAGTATCACTAAGGAGTTCACAAAACTCTGATATGCAGTCTGTAATCACCCAATTCAAGTCCGATTTACAGCAAGTGTGCGATAGAGTGTGACAGATAGAAGATAAGATGGGGGAATTTGCTACTACGTTCAACGACTTAGTCGATGCCCACAATGACAGGGAGGATGACCATGAGTGGATGAAAGCCAAAATAGCAGACCTAGAAGATAGGTCCCGGCGCAACAATGTGAAAGTGCGTGGCATCCCTGAATCGGTCTCCCAATCCAACCTGATGTCTTATGTTCGCGACCTTATGCATGACATAATACCTGACACTCCTATGACGGAACTGGTCCTGGACCGCATACACCGCTTACCTAAACCGCCAAACCTACCGGAGAAGCTACACAGAGATGTATTAATGCGAGTACACTTTTTCCACGTAAAAGAACACCTACTCAAGGCAGTGAGGGATACATCCAAACTTCCTGAAAGCTACTCCCACTTGCAATTTTACTCAGATCTATCCCAACATACAATGTTGTTCCGGAAGAGGCTTGTGCCGGTCACTAAGGTGCTACGTGACCACAAGATCCAGTATGGCTGGGGTTATCTGGCTAAACTCATAGTGTCCAAAGAGGGTGAATCCTACATGCTGTTCTCCCTAGAACACGGGTTCCCTAAAAATGGAAGATCCCCCCGGCCCAAGACCAGTCGCATCGTCCAACCGCATCTCCTAGCAAGATGGACTCCGGGTGGCGGATGTCCGACCGCAAGAGGGGCTCCAGGACGACGAAAGACCCAGATTGAACCTGACCTGCACTACTACTTGAGGTTTGCAAGCCTCCTGGCCCCGCTTGGCCACACTGTTCACCATGTGTGATACCCCCAATGCTGCGAGCAGTGCCAGCCACTGCAAGTTGGTCCCCAGGCGGGACCTTTTTTTTATACTGATATAAAACTGTATGCAAAAATCCTAGCCAATAGACTTCAGTATATTATACCTTCATTGATACACCCAGACCAGTCTGGCTTCATCAAAGGTAGGGGAGCCCCATACGCTACACGTAGGGCTCTAAATATTATACACCACGCGGGGGGCTCCGATACACCTTCTCTTCTCTTAGCATTAGACGCTGAAAAGGCGTTTGACCGCGTCCACTGGGGCTACCTTCAACAAGTGCTCCATAAGTTTGGCTTTAGTGGGTGGATACAATAGGCCATCTTAGACCTCTACTCCAACCCCTCAGCCAGGGTCTTTACTATGGACGCATTTTCCGCACCCTTCTCTATTACAAACGGGACTAGGCAGGGGTGTCCCCTATCCCCTTTAATATTTGATCTTGCCATAGAACCCTTAGCCGAATCCATCCGATCCCACCTTCTTATAACCGGGTTCAAGTTCGGGAAAAACTATGTTACATGTGTATTAATGTCACATACCATGTGATGAGCATATCTGTATTGTACCAATCTTGGAAAATGTCTTGTTCTCAATAAAAACGATTGAATTTAAAGCATCGTCTATGGACTTTTAGGGTATTTAATTTTGTCGCAGTTTCACGGACGCACACAATTTTTAACCTGGGCATGTTGGGTATCTATTTACTCGTTGTAACCTTATCTTTTATGTTTTATTTTAAAATGAGTATTTTATTGTGTTTTGGGGCATTTAAGTTTATTTTTCACAAAATTTGGGGTTTGATAAGGAGTTGCGCTAATACAGTGCAATATAAAAATTTGCAACGACCACCATTTTAATTTTATAGGGTCTTGGCTTTCAATATATAATGTTTGGGGGTTTTAAGTAATTTTCAGGCCTAAAAAAATGTGGATGATATGTAAACAAAAAATTAAAAAATGGCCTCAGTCACGAAGGGGTTAAAGAGAGCTCCAGGAAAAAAAATATAACTTATACATTGCACAGGGTGTGTAAGTTATCACAAAAAAGCTGTATGTAATGTGTGGAGGGCCACTGCAATGTATAACAGTCTTACCTTGCAGCATGCCAACTATTACACATAATGCTGCTCCTCTGAGAAATGCAGGGAGTGAGAGATGTAACTCCGGCAGTGAAGGGTTCTAGTTGCATCCCTGCACCTCTTTGCTACTTGCCCATTCTTCTTGAAGAATACAAGGTATTCTGTGATTGAAGGAGGAGAGATGATGTCACATCCCCTCCACATCTTTTCTCCTTTTAATGACAGAATGCTTTGTAGTCTGAGAAAAATATACAGTATTTAATGAATGGGCAGGTAGCGAAGAGGGATGGGCATGCAATTGGAGTACTTCACTTCTCGAATCATAGCCCTCACTCACCGCAGCACCCAAGAAGCCAAGTGTTATGTGTAGGAGAGGACATGCTGCAAACTAAGATATGGTGAGAACACATTATTTTTGTTTCCTGTAAATCTACTGCATAACTGAAAATGTTTTTTTATTAAAGTTTTCCAGTGATCTCCATATAAAACAAACTAGCATTTAAAATGCTACAAATAGAATACCATTAAAAGTGTACCATACTGTAATAAAGGTCTGTATACTTCTGCTGTGGGAATGCGTCCATCAGAACTATGAACAGCCATTTTTGGGAGTCACCTGAAAAAGTGGGTTGGCTATATACAGTAAAGGCTAATTAAGGTAAATCCTAAGAAATCCCCACAACATTGACTGTGTTGACAAAATACTCTGAAATATAAAAAAATACAGTTTGCATGTAATAAATTTGAAAAACACTTACCGGCTGGTCAGTTCTGTTGATCCCAATAAGAAAAAGTAACTCGGCCACAAATAAACTTATGCAAAGGTTTTTATGAATTGTGTTACGGTCACTCTGCAGGCCCCGAAAAAAGCAAAATGTAAAAATACATATCAGCAAGCAAACAAGGGAAAGTAGAATTCCGACCCAGGTAATCACATCCAAAAGTAGGTCATGGACAACATCATATTGCTAGAAAATAAAATTATAAAAAATATAAATGAATAAGAATAATGAAGACCTTTAAATAACAAGAATATGCGTCTTTCTATTCAATATTATACACAGGATTTTTGTGATATTGCATCTTTTTATCTGTTTTCCCAGCCAGTGGCCTTAAAACATGTGGGTCTTGGAAGTCTTTCTGTGTTTAAAATTTGTGTCTGAGCTAATAATACAAATGTAACAACAGAGTTGGAGTACTGCTTGACCCCAAATCAAGGAAAGTAATCTCTGAAAGCTTGATAAATGAACTGTACAAATAAAAAAGTATCATGTAAAGTACTTAAATGTATTAACAGCACACTAATATGACTACAATCACCCTATGAATGAAAAATAAATAAAAAGTATATTAAAGTTCCTGGCATTCAGAATTATTCTGATTTTTATGGTTACCTTGAAAGTCAGGGGGACTAAATATATACCATTTTTTTATTTTTATTTAGAAAGATAGAGAATTGACATGTGCAATTCGTTTGTTTTGCGGACAAATTTTTGTTATTCCGAGATTCGGATGTATGCGAAATTCGGAATAACAGAAATGACGAATGAAAACGAATCCAAATTTCCGAAAATGAAATGTCGGACAAAATTCGTTAGCGGTAGTCTGTACGAATTTTCGTTTGTAGTGAGATTTTTAAAAAAAATGTTTTAAATGTTACTTTGCTGCAAGGAAACGAACACGAAACGGAAACGAACATTCGTACAGACTACCGCTAACAAATGATGTCCGAATCTCGAAACGAATTGACTTTCGGACACGAATCCCGAAAAACTATACACAAAACACAAAATCCGAATCAAAACAAAACAAATGTTTTACTGGTGCACATGTCTAATTATCATTTATTTGCATAATGCAATACATTAGTGATTCTTAAATTGGGGGGGGGGGGGGGACCCTTTCCGGAAAAAAAATAAAAAAAAGGGTTCCACTAAAAAAAAGGGAAT